TTTATGAACTATGTGAACTTGGGCAAATTATTTCACCTCTCTAGAACCGCTTTCTCTTCTGTAAAATTAAGATGTTAGTATCTATTTTTAACACCTATCTTTTAGGACCAGGGTGAGGCTTACAAAATATAATAAATATAGGACAATTAACAGTGCCTAGCACACACTAAGAAATTTTTAAAAAGAATAAAAAAATTAAACAAGGAGAAATTTTAAAGAAAGTATAGGACACAATGACAGAATGCTTGAGGAGACAGAAATTTCTTCATGATTTAGCCTGGGAGACCAGAAGAATACTGAAGCCACTATGATATGGAAATTGTGGAATTCAGGTGCCATTACTGTAGCATTCATTCCTATGGGAGATATTCTATGTAAGTATGGGAGTACAGGACTGGAACACCAATGGAAGAAAACAATTGGCAACGCTGATTTGGGAATCATCTGAATACAGGTGATAACTGAAGTTATGAGTACATGAGCTCTCCAAATGTGTAAATAAAAGCAGAGGATGGAGGACGGATCTTGAGTAGAAGCAGCCAGAAAGGAGAATTCTGGAAGATGATGAAGCCTTAACTTTCACTGTAAGTGACCAGCTGTTCCCTCATATTCTACACAAATAGAACGAAACACAATATCGTATTGAGGAAAAGTACCAGACTAGTGGCCAGGAAATCAGGATCCTAACCCAGTTTAATTAACTTGCTCTGTAGTCCTTAGATGAACTACTTCTCATTAGATCTCAGCTTCTCATCTATAAAAGAAGAATGTTGGACTAGATGATTTATTAGACAGTTCTTTCAACTTTATGATTTTTACATCAGGAAGTTAAAAATGTTTACAATCCATAATCACTAAAAGCCGCCTCATACATTCCCACAGTCCTGTCACAGATGTTTAGTGACCTTACAAAAAGCAGGAGGCATTGAACATACTTTCCTAGAAAAATATTTCAAAAGTCTCTCAGATTTTCCTGGTCTTCACTACAGAACTATGTTTACTATGATTTTATTGAAGCCTCTGCATTTTAACTGGAAAATACCTATGTAAACTGAATACACATTACAAATGGCAAGATTCATTATAAAAGGATCCTTCTTATAAAACAATTAACTTAGAGGTTCCTTCTTTCATAACTCTTACTATTTATATTTATGGTATCCTACAAACATTTTTCCTACTTTTTTAATACATAAAAAATAAAGTTTTCCTTACCCTGCTACAAAATAACTTCATAAGAATTCCAGAGATAATTTTTAATCTCTTTTACTATGGTCTTTAAGATAATCCTTATTACTGTCTTATTGCTTTACATTCTAATTCATTATGCTTGTGCAAACGTAAGAAAAAAGCTGTAGAGATGGAAGGAATTATCTAGAGATATCAATAATTATACTAATTTAAATTCAATAGTCTTACAGTCTCTCCTATAGTTCATTCCTCATTACTTTCTCCATGAGCTATAAAAAGGAGTAATGGCTCCACTTTATAAAACTGAAGGCAATCTGTACAGTAATTTTCCTGAATCCAAGGCTCAAATTAGGTTGAAATAGAAAGTCCTTTCCCTCAATTTTATTGAGGTATAACTGGCATTTAATAAACTGCACATATAAAATTGTACAATATGAGAAGTTTTGACATATGTATACACCTGTGAAACCAGCACTATAATCATGAAAATGAACATACCTATCACACCAAAAAGTTTCCTCCTGCCCATCTCTTTTTCATTCTACTCCCCATCTCCAAACAACCACTGATGTCCTTTTTGTCGCTCTAGTTTGGATTTTCCAGAATCTTGTATCAGTGGAATCGCACAGTATATATTTGGGGAGTGGGAGAGCCTGGTTTCTTTCACTAAGATAATTATTTTGAGATTCACCCATGTTGTTGAGAATATCAATCGTTCATTCCTCCTTATTTCTGAGTAGTATTCCACTGTGTGAATATACCACGATTTGTTTTCCATTCACCTGTTGATGGACATTTTGATTGTTTACACTTTGGGCCTATTATAAATAATGCTACTATGACTGTTCATGTACAGACTTTGTGGGCAAATTCCTGTGAGTGGAATGAATGGCTAGATCATATGGTGGGTATATGTTTAGTTTTTTAAAAAACTAAACATAAACATGCTGTATATGAGAATTTAGCTGTTTCACATTCTTGTCAGCACTTCTTATGATCAGTCTTTTTGTTAAAATATATTTTTATTGATTTCAGAGAGGGAGAGGGAATGGGAGAGAGAGCTAGAAACAATAATAATGAGAGAGAATATTGATCGGCTGCCTCCTGCACACTCCACACTGGGGATTGAGCCCACAACCTGGGCATGTGCCCTGACCGGGAATGAAACCATGAGTTCCCGGTTCACAGATCGAAGCTCAACCACTGAGCCACGCCAGCAGGGCTATGATCAGTCTTTTAAATTTCAGCCATTCTAGTAACTAGGGTGTTCAGTGATATCTCATTGTACCTCTAATTTTCATTTCCCTAATGAATAATGATGTTGAGTATCTTTTCATGTGCTTAGTTTTTTATCCATTTATCTACTTTGATGAAGTGTCTTCAAATCAGGCAGTATAAGTCCCTCAACTTTTGTTTTCTTGATCAAAGTTTTGCCAACTCTAAGTCCTTTGAATTTCCATATAAATTTAGAATTAGCTTAGTAATTTCCACAAAAAGAACCTGCTATGATTTTTATTGAACTTGCCTTTAAAGCTATAGATCAAATCAGAGATAAATCACATCTTAAAAATACAGAATCTTCTGACCCATGAACATGATATATCTCTGTATTTAGATCATTAACTTCTCTCACAATTTTTTGTAATTTTCAGTTTATATGCCTTTCACCTCTTTGGCCAAATTTATTCCTAAGTATTTTATTTTTGCTGCTCAATGGCATTTTTAAAATTTCTATGCCCAATTGTTCCAAAATATATAAAGAACTCCTACAACTCAATGCTCATGCTCACTGCAGCATCCTATATGATAAAAGGCTAATATGCAAATCGACCGAACGGCAGAACTACCGGTCGCTATGACACACACTGACCACCAGGGGGCAGACGCTCAACGCAGGAGCTGCCCCCTGGTGGTCAGTGCGCTCCCACAGGGAGAGCGCTACTCAGCCAGAAGCCAGGCTCTCAGCTGGCAAGAGCAACGGCAGTGGCAGGAGCCTCTCCCACCTCTGCAGCAGCACTAAGGATGTCCACAGACAACAACAGAACCCAAATAGCTTGATTAAAAAATGGGCAAATGACTTTTTCTTTTCCCATTCATCTATTAATGGACATTTAGGTTGCTTCCACCTCTTGGATATTATAAATAATAGAGGCCCGGTGCATGAAATTCGTGCACTCGTGGGGAGGGGGAGGTCCCTCAGCCCAGCCTGCACCCCCTCGCAGTCCGGGAGCCCTTGGGGATGTCCCACTGGCGGCTTAGGCCCACTCCCCGCAGCTGGCAGTCGGACATCCTTAGTGCTGCTGCGGAGGCGGGAGAGGCTCCTGCCACCGCCTCTGTGCTCGCCAGCCAAGAGCCCAGCTTTTGGCTGAGCAGCGCTCTCCCTGTGGGAGCGCACTGACCACCAGGGGGCATCTCCTGCGCTGAGTGTCTGCCCCCTGGTGGTCAGTGCGTGTCATAGCGACCAGTCATTCCGCTGTTTGGTCGATTTGCATATTAGCCTTTTATCATATAAGATGCTGCAGTGAACACGGGGTTGCACATATTTCTTCGAAGTTTGACTGCTTTCACACATGATGGATCTTAGTTTTTGCAGCATTCAAATGTTCATCAAGTGTTCAAATACTGAACAACTATTGCATGCCAGGTTCTCTGCTGGCCATTAGGAAGAGAATCCTCAGTATGCTCTAAATGAGGTATAAAAAAGGAGTACAGCCCTAGCTGGTTTGGTTAAGTGGATACAGCATCAGCCTTCGGACTGCAGGGTCTCAGGTTCCATTCCTATCAAGGGCACATGCCTGAGTTGCAGGCTCAATCCCCAGTGTGGGGCCTGTAGGAGGCAGCTGATCAATGATTCTCTCTCATTATTGATGTTTCTCTCTCTCTCTCCCTCTCCCTTTCTCTCTGAAATCAATAAAAATATATTTTAAAAAGAAAAGTACACAGACAGACATGGACCCGGTCCTGCTAAAGTCTTATCATCTCACTGAAGTATTTTAGAACAAGAGCTAAAAGCATAGGCTCAGGGTTCGATTAGCTTGGGTTTGAATCTGGCTCTGCTCCTGACCTGGCGGTTGACCTTGGAAAACTTCATTAACTTTCCTAAGCCTGTTTCTTCATCTGTAAAATGAAGATATTAATAATAGATACCTCATAAGATTGCTGTGAGGATTAAGTGAATTAATACCTTTAAAGTCCTTGTAACAGGGCTTGGCACGTGGTAAATAGTCAATAAATGTGAGCTCTTTATTATTAGAGGGCAGGATTAGATCCTCACAGGGTAAATCCACAAATGATTGGGAAGGACAGGTGTGGAGACATTAACAAGATGAGAAGTAGTTTCATTTAGCTGCTAAGCATACCTCGGTTAAAACCTTGCTCTGCTGTTTACTGGCCGAGTGCTTGGAGCAATGCCCGTAGGTGTTTAGTATCGTTTTTTGGCACACGGGATACTTAATGGACCACATTTATTGACTATGTATGTTCTGAAAAGCCGTAACATTGCCAACACCTGTTCATAATAGTAAGAGCTGCCATTTCTTACTGCACACGTGTTCTCTTTTATGTTTCTTAGTCTAGTGAGGCAAGCATAATCAACCCCGCTTCGTGGTAAGGAACGAGACCATCTCTGTGTAACTATGACCAGTGGGCGGTTGGAGGCCTCCTAAGTGGTGGCTGGGAATCCAACCCCTGACCAAACCGGGGCTCGCCGTGGCCTCTGTCACCAGGGGGCCCTCCGCCCCTCGCCCATGGCGCCGAGAGAGGCAGCAGTCGGCCAGGCCGTACCCATGGCCGCCCCACGGAGCCCCTACCTCCAGGAGCCTGCCCGGCGAGGCCTCCACTTGGGCACGGCCCCCGCCTGGGTCTTCCCTCTCAGGTCCCCGGGAGCAGCAGAGCACGTGAGCTAAGGCCCAGCTCTGAGGAAGGACGGGCGCTGTCTCCAGGCAACGCGC